TGGATCCAAAAATACTCCCGAAACTCCAGAGCTACAGAGAATTCTTTGTCCCAGAATTTACGATTTTAACGGGTCGGAGACGCATTGAACCAAATCCCAAATTCCTAAACTAGAAAAAAAAAGCCTGAACTGCCTACTCCCTCGTAAAACTGTCAGGAATACTCAAAGATTCGAGGAATCCTCGTCGACATCAACAAACTGGTGAACATCAGAGTGACCAGTCGTTTCTATGGATTAGGCATTTTATTAACAATTTCCTTACTTAAAAAAATAATTTCAAAGGTACCACAGGTAATAAAATCCGAAAAAACCAACCGCATTCGTTAGGATACAATAAAATTGCTATAAAAATTCCATTAAAAATTCTGTCCATTGAAAATTAACAGATTTTCGAATACTATTTATACCGTCGAGATATTATCCAAAGAAATTATTAAATTGTATACAAAAATTTATAGATTATAAAAATACTGGTACTGTATCCAAATACTTGACATATATAAAATAATAAAATGATAAATGAAGAATTAATATGAAGTTTATAATTATAAAATTATCTGAGAAGTCGTGGAATTTTCCAACCGAATGATTTTTGATTTGAAATGTTTTCACGTGTAAACTGTTGCGTCAATTAATAGAGAGAAATGTTATCTCCCTTTCCCCAGTCGATTCCAAATATTCATATCATAATAATGACTCAATAGAATTCCTGGCACTTGCTCCATGAAATTATTATTATGAAAAATAGCAATTCTGTTGTGAAATGGTAGACTAAGACAAGTGCATGTATTCCCTTCGCCAGTATTTAGTCAATATCTTGGAATTGAAACGACATACCGATATTTTTATCGATACACTTTTTATAGAGAAAAATGAGAGCTATAAAAAAGATATCTATGAAAAAATCCCTATCTTCCTTCAATTCCAAGATATTTATTTTTTCTAACCAAACTGTTTATCGAACTATTTACTCCAGAAGTAATTCTTTTCTCATCCAGTTTTTAGCGATTATCCCCGAATTGAAGGGTGATAGCGATATTACTCCTGATACATTTTCTATAGAGAAGAATAAGGGCTACAAAAAAGGTATCTATAAAAAAATCCCTATCTCCCTTCCATTCCAAGATATTTATCTTTAATCATGCATTAGTCCATTCCCCTTGGAAACACTGGATTTAAAATTCATAAAAATTCTTGCAGACTTCCCGAATGCTCCAGATAAATAATAACACATATGCATTTATCTGCATCACATGCATGTCTATGTGTATATACATTTTTCTGGCAGCTGTAAAAACTTATAGATATCGCGCTCATAAAAAAATCCAAAAAGCTAAAAATTGGTGTCGAAAAGGAGCACTGAGTGTAGGATTCTCATAAACAATTGAAATTTCGTTAAATCCCTTACCTCTGATTTTAGTCTCCTGTGGATCCATAGGTCTGACACGTGGGTGATTCTGCTGTCCAGGTTTCTTGAGCAGAACCCCCACAACCTGCGGTGCCATCATCATCACCAAAATTCCAAATAAACCTCAACCCAAAACCTCACACTGTCCCCATCACCCGTAATACCTTCCACTTTCACCGACACTCAAAAAAAAAGAAACAAATAAACTCAGAGAATAAAATTCCCTAATCACGTTAATTAAACTCCGTCACATAAACACAAGATGGCCACCATTATCCCAATTAAAACTCCAACAGCTGAAATTCCCCTCTCATTCATTCAGAGATAATCCACACCACCATTTCCCTTTTGTTTATCAACTCGTCTCGACTAATTCGTACGGTTCACTCCTCTGCACTCATCATTTTCACGTTTTATTTTTCTTCTTTTTTTTTGGTACCGGAAGTCGAAGTGGAGAACGTCAATTCTTCAAATTTACGAGGGACTGATTGTTGGAGCAAATTGATGGGGATTAATTGAGATTAATGGAGATTATTGGTGTACGTCGGTCACATTTCGTTTTGCTGTTTTGTTTTTTTTTTGTCTTTTGTTTTTTTTTTTTTAGAGGAAATGGATATCAGTGTTTTCTGTTGCGCACCCGGCGTACGACTGACCGACAAGCGGAAGAGTGTCGACTCCCAGAGACACTCGTATCCCCACTTTATTTTTGCTTTCATCCTCTGTCTCCCTTGGGTTTTCACTCAATATCTGATTTTTTATCTCCTTCTGTCACCGTTTTAGTCGCCTTCTCCATGATGTGGAGATGATCGCGGGACAGAGGGGTTTCTATCTTTGAATACGCCTTCTCCACATGCCCTCGGTATCATTCACAAAAAAAAATAAATATTTGACTCCAGTATATTTCATACTTGATTTAAATATATACGTTATAGTTCGTACTAGTATGTACACTGAGAAAAACAAAATGACTTTAACCAATAATATTTAGTAATCACAAGAAAATATATTTGGTATTAGTAAGTCGTATGGGAATATTTATACAGTGATTACCAGATTTGCTGGTGCTTAGTAAATATTATTGGCTAAAGTATATTTTTTTATCAGTTTACGATTTTTTATGAATATCGATGAAAGTTTGATTC